TGTGGGTGTGGGTGTAGATGTGAGTGTGGATGTGGGTGTGGGTGTGGGTGTGGGTGTAGACAAGAATCTACTCTTCATCCATATTCACACCCGCAGCCCACACCCACACCCACATCCACACCCTGTTTGGTACCTACAGGAAACCAGACAGTGGGTATAGAAAATCATTACGTAGCTGTTGGAATTCATTAAGTAGCTGTAGAATCATGAAGTAGCTGTATAAAACCATTCAGCAGCTATAGGAATTCATTAAATAGCTGTAGAATCATTAAGTAGCGGTTGAGAACCATTAAGTAGTTGTTGGAATTCATTAAGTAGCTGTTACCTTTTTTTCAAAAGTATCTCTTTTGAGAAGCGACGCCCACCCACACCCCACCCGCTAGCAAAGCATATTTTTCAGATGAAAAGCGCATTATTTTTCATATCTTAATTCGAACAGTATTGATAAAAGACAAGAGTATATGATGATCTATCTTTGAGCTATTTCAGATATTTAATAAGGATATTATCAAATTATTCACATTCATAAAGTTGACTAAAGAAATTCCAATACTCTTCGAAATTGCTCAACGCAGGGTGTGGATGCGAGTGCGTGTTTTAGCGAGTATGGAATGTCCACACCCACACCCTTAGAATTATTGGTTTCTTGTTTTAAACATTTGATTGAAGTATTGATAAGTCAAGAATAAGTGCAAGAAAATGGAAGTATATGTACAAGTGAAGATAAAGAATCATTGCGATGCTATCTTAAAAATATAATTGATACAATTTTATGTGAGAAGTAAAGTTCAAATAGAAAACTAAATTTTATTGTTTTTAGATGTACATGCAATACTATTCTTGGTACTTGAGCTATGAAAGGTGAGTTGAATTAGGGTTCATAATTTTCTTTGTACTGTGAACAAACGAGATTTACAAGCAAGAAAAATTTTACAATAATCTTATTTTTTGGCAACAGTTTTCTTAATTTCGTTTATCGATAGAATAGTGAACTCAAATTTAGTCGAAGAAATCTTAAAAGTAAACTAAAAGATAAAATACCGATAGAAAAACTGTTTTTTTTTGGCCTGATGTTGAATAAAAATGTCATTACCAGCACTTGATCAATTCTATGAAAGTAGAAGAAAAATGTCTGCAGAATTTTGTATAATCAATGTAATAATTATTTCATTCTCACGAATTATTTATCTTTAGTTGAAACCAAAAAGTAGTTATGATAGTCCAATAAGAAGATAATTTAACGTTGGTAAACTAATATATCGAAGTCTTTTTGCTCCTTTTTTATTGTTTCTTCTTCCAAAACGCGTCATTGGATTTGAATTTAGTTGCTTGATTTTTAAAAATTTTCTCAGGAAGTAACTATGTAGAAGTCTTTACCTGAGTTTTCAACATTTTTACTTTCGATCAAAGTTAACGTTCTTAGATTATTATTATCTTTCGTGGTAGCCAAGTGGAGGTAACGGAAATATGAAGAATTGGACTAAAACTTCGTTAGCACATGATATAATAGGTATTGCTGTTTTGATATTGTCTCTAGTCTATCAGTATCAGAAGTGAACAAAGGCTGAGTTTTTCTTTGGAGGAGTCCAATAACAGCTTGCAAGATTTTCATATAAAATTCCTCAGTATTTTTTATTATTAGATAGAAGGGGTTAGGCTGAGGAGAGACATCCAACTATGTATAAGGGAAAGAACGACATTTTGTACGGTGGGTGTGGATGTTAGTCTTCTGTTCACCACACGCAAGCACCCTTTCTATATCAGAGGATAGAATGAGATTGAATGCAATTAACGCTACGAGTAATGCATTCAGCTAGTATGTCCTTATTTTGATGCCTAGAAGTATCACTTTCTCAGCAACATACACAACAGTTCTCACGCATGATTGCTTTTTGATGTGTACACACACATATATATTCATACTTCATAAGACGAGATTCCATTTATTCTAAAAAAAGACATTAAAGGCATCATAGAATTATCGATATGGAACACATATTATTGTTTTAAAGGTATTTCAATCAAAATTTGTTTCGTCAATTATTTTCCGAGAGAAGAGAACGCAAATAATATTTTCTTGTTTATGCAGAATAATGGATGGCTCATGTTAATGGTATCAATTATTATCGAGTTTAGGCTTTTCATTGTATCCTGCGAGCCAAACGTTGTTGAAACTCTAATTTTTTGGGATTGAATAAACTGTCCATCTTCGTGAAGAGTGCAAACATGCCAATCATATTGATCGGAATCATTAATATGATAGTAACAGCATTCATGATGGCCACGGGCTGACGACAGAGTTTTTCAAAATCTTCAGGAGTCAATACGTCTATCGATGGCTCCGTGACCGTTGTAGTTGTCGTTGTCACTGCTGCATAGAAAAAAAAATACAACTGATATCAAATTTGATATGTATGGTTCTGAAAATAGTAATATTATCATTGATAATAGCATCAGCCTGTGGCGGTTTAATCAGGGTTTTTATTATTTCTATATACTGATTATAAAATGTGTCAACAGTTACGTTGGAACATTTTAGATTCCTTTAAATAATAGTGTAACGAAATATGGATAGACTGTTTCGCTATTACTGCAGTATTTAATTTATTGTTGATTAACAATGAGAGACTGGAGGAGCAGCCTCACGGGTATCCTCAGTGTAAGATGTTCACTATACTACTCCATCATTCAGTTCTAACTACTTTACATACATCACGACTGTATATAAGAGAGAGATATGAGAAGAGAAACAATAATAGACAGAGTACAGTGAGCAGACAGCTATTGTCGGTTGTCAGATCACATCGTCTAATGAAATGATGACCGGATGACCTGATACCAATGAACGGATAAAAGGTGAAGATGCGACGTGCCCTTATTATTGGCACAAATAGTAAGCGTTTTTATAAGATCTCATCACTCAACTAAGGCAGTCACAAAGCTTTGAAAACTGAAAAATCAATACGGCAAGCTATATGTTTTGCTTCATACACAATCGTGTGACTTATAACTATCATCCTCCTCAATTAAAATCTAAAATAGAATTTTTAGAGTGACGACAGCAAATACTACAGTATTGGATGAAAGAGAGAACGTTGTTGAGTTTTTTCTGAAAGAGCTTTTTTGTTTTGCCTATCATAAAGAAAAGACAATGCATCACACTAACTTGTTGAAACACTGGTTGTACTGGTGGTTGATGTGGTTGATGTAGTTGAAATTAAAGTAGAAGTAATGATCACAATACCAGTCGTTGTCAAATTCGCCATAGGTGTTGTTGTACTCATCGGCTAGACAAGTGATAATAGAAGTGATAGTCGAGAAGAAGTCGTCTCATACGTACTCGTGTAGTAACAGTATGAGAAGTAGGTGGCGTTGTAGTCGTTGTAGTTGTACTAGACAGAGCTGGGTTCCAAATGTCAAAGACCCAAAAATTCGGATCCGTAATGGGTGCGGATTCAGCATCTAATCATTCTTTCATGAAAATATATTAACCTATTAAGAAATATGTACTTACGACAAAAATCTGTACCACTCGATGCTCCTACAATAGAAAAAAATACAGAGATAGAAATGTTACTAGGATCAATAAATGGAAAGCAATCCAAACCGCTATCAAATGTCACATAATAAGTGTGACCGGGGATCCACAAGTAAGGTGCATAGATAATAAGAGTGTCTCCAGAATAGATTACGTTAGGTGACCAACCACAATCGTATCGCAAAACAAGTGTATTGTTCAGTGTCTTGTCATTGAAATTAACATATGTTCCATTGCGAGTGGGACGATTGACAGCCATCCCATTAACACCTACAAATGTGAAGATGAAATGAGAGCGATGTTCATAAGTGTTAGATAGCATACTTTGGATGGAGAAAATTGTGTGATTAGCGAATACAGTGCCTATTGGAGATGCTGAACCTTGAACAAGCACTGGTACCTGAAGATTAGGCGCCGTAAAACCAACCAAAAAAGTAATGCACCATGGATCTGACTGGACGTCCGATGAGTCAACTGCTCCAGCACAAAATCCTTGAGGACCGTATTGATCAGGAGTCGGGGTCCAAATAAGATTGATGGAGAAAAGGTCTGCGAATGTGGAGAGCACATAGAAAGAGTTATAAAAAATGTCTTACTTGTGCCTATTTGTGTAATAGTTGTCTTTCGCATTCCAATAGGCGAGCTTGTTGTAAAATCCACTATTGTTTTGTTGGGACAATTAACTTGTGCGATGACCGTTTCGTTTGTGAGATTACCTATTCATCAGAAATATTACTAAACATTAATGTGCTAGAATGAAGAAAGTTCTACCTATTGGCGTCCCTATACATGCTAGAGAATAAAAATATAGAAAATGAATAAAAAATGAAATACGACAAAAATGCAAAGTCGAACCTAAATTTGGTCGAACACCGATGATCGATGGTGGTGTGGAACATCCTAAAGGAGCTATTGTTCCATAGAATAAAAACTGAATAGGAACGGAACTCATGGGTGTCGGTGATGTGGATGTATAATAGTCTTCAATTTGTAATGCAACAGCATAATAATCAGTTTTATTGAGCTTAAACACTAAGGTGCAATTATCCGAGAAGAGTTGAAACCCACCAGGGAGACTTGGTGAGCAAACTGAACCACACTCATTGTATCCATTCAAATTTGTAGAGCTCATTGTATTGCTCGTCGACCATCGACATCGAAGTGTGTCAGTCGAATCAGCATCCGACATCTGAATAATATGCACGTGTTGCACATTTATTTCTCGATAGATGACTGGCAGCGTTGTAGTCACAGGAGAAGTATTCAAAATGCCATCTGGTCTCACTGTTACATCGATTTTTCCAGTCACATACCAATCGCCATTTCCTCCAATTGCTAGCTGCATCCATGCATTGCTCGTGAATGTGACAGTATATGAACGGTTAAGGAAAAGAGTTCGGTTGTCGTATCGTTCGCCTGATGCCCAATTAGCTGCGGAACTGTAGTCGGTACATTTTACATCGGCGTTGATCGGAGAGAGCGATGCACAATTACCACCGCCAACACATGTTGACGAGCCCGTGCCTGAACCGACTAGTCCTTGTTGGGCTATCGTCAGGTCCGTACAATTGTTTGCTGCCCCCCAATAATTACGACGCCATGAAAATCGTTGATGAATTAAAATTGAAGCCGTCGTACCCGATGGATTTGTGTTCCATGCTCGCCTAAATCAATGATTGGAACGAGATTCGTTATTAAAAAAATCGATAATAGCTCACCAACTGACTATACCACCTCGAAAGTGTGACCCATCGACGAAATTTATTGTTGGAGTCAATATTATAAGAATTGTAAAAAAATAAACACCCATCATATCCATCTCACTATACATGAATCAAAACTTTCTATAATCTTAAGCCAAACAACTGCAACAATATGAAAAATTTGTAGCTCTCTTATTTTATACACCGCAAGGTTTGTTTATTTTATGAAGTGCCATTAAACAAAACCAAAATTCAACGTTTTCTCTTTTTAATGCGAGATGGCAACATTTACTTTTTCATCAAATAATCATTGACAACAAAGAATGATGTGGGAGAAGTAAATAAGAATTGTTTCGACGTAATTGTTGAAAATGTCGTTCACTATGAATCGCTGACAAGCGTTTTGTCTGATTAACAAAGAATGGCTGCCTATTTTAATAACTGAAAAGTAGTTATTTTTCTACATCGAAAATCAGAATCTTTGCTAAGAGAGGATGGACGTGGGGTATGGGCTATGATCATAGGCCTCAACAATGGTGTAGGATTGGGTGTAGGTTTGGGTGTGGATGTGAGGTATAGGTGGGCATGTGGGTGCGGGGTGTGGGTGTAGGTGGATGTCGTCACGAATCACTATACCCAAACTCACACCCACACCCCTATACACAGCAAGATTTGTTTATTTTATGAGGTGCCATTAAACAGAACATAAATTCAACGTTTTCCTTTTGTAATGCGAGCTGGCAACATTTACTTTTTAATCAAACAATCATTGACAACAAAGAATGATGTGGGGAAAGTAAATAAGAATCGATTCCAAGAAATTGTCGAAAATGTCATTCACTATCACTCTCTGACAAGCGTTTTGCCTGATTAACAAAGAATGGCTGCCAATTAATAACTGGAAAGCAGTTATATTTCTATATCAGAAATCAGAATCTTTGTTAAGAGAGAATGGATATGGGGTATGGGGTATGATCATAGGTTTGAGCGATGGTGTACGATTGGGTGTACGTTTGTGGTATGGGTGTGAGGTATAGGTGCGGTTGCGGGTGTGGGTGTAGGTGGGTGCGGGTGTGGGTGGGTGTGAATGTGTGGATGCGGGTGTGGGTGGGGTGGGTGAGAATGTGAGTGTGGGGTGGGTGTGGGTGTCGGTGGGTGTGGGGTGTGGATGTGGGTGGATGTGGGTGTGGGTATGGGTGGGGGTGGGGGTGTGCGTGTGGGTGTGGGTGTGGGTGGGTGTGGGGTGTGGGGTGGAGTGCGTGGGTGTGGGTAGGGTGGGTGTGCGTGTGGGTGTGGGTGGGTGTGGGTGTGGGGTGTGGGTGTGAGATGTGGATGTGGGTGCGGGTGCGGGTGCGGAGGTTAGGAGGAGACCAACACGAACACCCACCCACACCCACACCCACACCCACACCCACACCCACACCCACACTCACACCACACACCCACACTCACACTCACATCCACCCACACCCACACCCACACCCACACACCCACACCCACGCCCAAAAACCAGAAGATAGGTTTTCTCCATTGTTCTTTGATAATAAAGACCAAACAGATGGTTCACGCTGCTGGTTGACAAGCTTTAGTAGATAATCGAGGTATTGATTCATTACTTTCATTTCTTTGCTATCTTCATCATTTTGATTCAATAGAGTTAAATGAACGATCCACATCGTTTCATTATGATTTGTAACAGACTTAACTCGAAACGTTGTATTTGCCATAAATAGTATCTCTTCTTCATCACAATAGTGACTTAAATGTATAATACTTGCAAATAGATTGTTTCTATTCGATGATGTTCGCATAGTCATATCGATATCGATTTGAAATAGAACAGATACTAGAAGATGTTCTCGATCGGATTGATTCAGTTCAGCGAAGGATAACGCAATTACACTTGACAATGTAGTGGAAAAAAATGATTTATTAGAAATGTATCGTCCAACATCATGATTCAGTCGACGTAATTCAGATAAACTCATCTTTTGACCTCGATAAACAGTCAATATTGGTTCTTTAAAAGTTCACACATATTGAATGTGTGACAGTGTGAGTTGTTCATATAAATCGATGATAAAATATCGAAAATCAATAATCATATCAATATTTTCACATCTTAATGCCATGTTCAAAAAACGATAGAGAAATGAGTCTTTTGTATACCAACGGATAGCTGAATCAGACCGATAACTCTTTTCGAATTCATCGATTTTAGCCAATTCTCTTGGATCATCCTTATAATACAATCGACATCGTTCGAGCATTCGATCATTGGCTTTGTTAGTTTTGGATGAAATTTGTGGCAAGATTTCTAATAATTGTAACATGATCACATCAAAATTGTCCGAGACAGTTTGCCCAATTAAGCTTGAATGATCACATAATGTCAGTCGAAATGACCAGAAGTGATCGTTAATTTTTTCACATGAAATAATGCGGAATATTATGCCATAAGGAAATAATATTTGACGTTCATCGGTAAAAGAAGACAGACCAGACACCTCGGCAAATGGCTTAGATGAAGAGAAGTTCGAATCAATATCGATTTCAAACATGACCGATACGCGATCTGCAGTTGGTACTCTGTTGATAAACGTTTTTGCTATGTGATTAGTGTTCCTTGTTGACCAAAAGGAGTTAAGTGAGACGAATCCATCAACGTTATGCTTTAGTTTTTCAAGTTCATCTCGACTTATATATTGTCCTCGGTAAACAACACGTGGAAATATTCGTTGATTTTGTTGATGGTAATGTAGTTTTTTTAGTTGATTGTAAAGATCAATAATGAAACAACTAAAATACATGATTGCATCAATAGCATTTGTTCGGAAAGTTCTATTGCATAAAATATATAGAAAACCGTCTCTTCTGTACCATTGAATGGCATCTAATGGCTGATACTGCATTTCAAACTTGGTAATGTTTCTTTGGTGAACAACATTCTCTCCGTAATATAATCTACAAAATTCGATCATTTTCGTGCGTGATTGATCAAGTGGCGGTGGTAGTTGGTGAAGGATTTCGAATATGGCTTCCATACATTTTATTTTAATCAATTGCGGACCGATAGAGCGTGTCGTATTTCCATCAGTTTGCATCCAGCGGACCTTGGTATCCGATACGGCACCGGTTTTAAAGGCCATAGAATCGCTACGTATTTTATCGATTAACATATTTGCATTATGGAAATATTGTGTAATATTACCACAAAAATTCTGATGCGCAGTTGGGTAGAACATGTAAATATAAATCAAAACATGGTCGATTAGCTTATCAAACAATGTCACATCCAAATCCTCGCTATGTGTACCCGTGGCGATAAGAAAGACTTGCTTAAATTTACAGTGATGTTGAACCATTGATTTTCTGCTGAGGTACCAATAGTATCATCTAACCAAATAATAATACTGTCTTCACATAAATTGTCCATGCCATTGAGGTTCGATAAGATGGTAAATGATTCTTCCATGAGATAAACACTAAAAATAAAGATGGTGAATAGCTGAAGACATTATTTTGTTGCCATCACGTGTCAATTCCCTTTGCTTTTTACTTTTGTTCTTTGCAAGAATACCAATCGGTTTTTCTTCGAAACTTTTCCGTCTCTTCCCTTACGTTCCATGAAAAGACGACTGAAACCAGCCGGAAAATCATAACAATGCTCTGGAAAAAAGTTGATCTGAATTTTTTGACAAGGAACCTGCTGAAATCTACCAAACTCGATTGCCATTGCATCCGAATACAAAGAAATTGGTCAGTTCATGACAATGTTACTAGTCGAAAAGGTCGATCATGAATCAAATAAGAAAACTAAATATTTAAATTTAGTGAAAGTTTTGATGAGAAACGCTAACATGACGAAATCTTTCATATTATAGAATATAGTTTGTGACACATAAGTTTATTCATATGAGTAATCATGAACGAATTTTTGTTACAACGATTCGTCTCGAAAATAACACATTCATTAGATATTGTGCTGGCACGTACATATTTAGTTTTGGCCTTGAGAGTGCTTCTCTATAAAACTATCCGACTACGTTAACTTCCAATAAAAGAATATTCAAACCGGTACGACAATCAAGATTTACCCATGTCTGTTTATTTTACGGGTTGTTTGATCTTTATGTTTTTTTTTCTGTAATGAAATTGAACTATAATACTGCTTTTATCTGTTCTATGGACAATAGTCAATATGCATTATATTGTACAGAAATTTAAAAGCGTGCAGCAGTGATGAATCAGATTCGTAGAACGAAAAAAGTCGACGAGTAAGAAAATAATTTCAGAAGCGTGTTTCATTGTCTTCCTTGTTTTAAAGGCATCACTCCTGTGGATTGTCTCTCACTATAAGCATGAACTACATGCATCTCTAATTCCTCTTCAATAAAGTGTTACTTCATATTGTCGAATAAAGATCGTTCATTGCAAGTTGTGTTTCATCACTCAAGAGTCGATTATCATGAATAAGAAATTGATTCTGCGTTCGACAAAAAGAAAAGTATGTGCGAGTTTCGTCCATCGATCATATGAATTAGACGAACTATTTCTACGTTTTCAAATAAATAATATGTTTCTGGCTTAAAGCATCACATTCATATTTAATAAAATGAAAGGCTGCTGGTGGTCGAATCAAAAATTCGTCTTCATCTGGAAATGCAGACATATCAGAGATACTGGAACTACAGTAAACCATTTCGGAAACAATTCCGCTTTCATCTACATCCAGTTCGATAATCAGTAGTGTATTACCGATCAACTCGGCCAGCTTACGACTTGTAGAGATTGATGTGAAAGATAAACACTTTACAAATTCGTTTGATTTTATGATCTCTTGAATTTGTTCGTCTTCCATGTTTAAGCCACGATAAAGTAAATGACTGCTTTTTGGCTGAAATGGAATCTGGTTCAGGTAACATCGGAGTAGATAGCAGAAAGGTCCTATTGATCTCATTTCTTCAATGTTAATTACATTCAGATCACGCATTAATCTATTAATTAGTTTGTACCAAAACGTTTGTCTCGTGTACATATTAACTAATATGTTACCAATTTCCATTGGTAATATAGTATCGATATCTGCTATGATGTTGGCACCAAAATGTTCGACTGCTAGTAATTG